CCGACAATTGTGCTCGTCCCCGTAGGATCCTATGGTTTAGGCACGTGGTCCAGGAACTCCGATATCGACTGCTTCTTCATCGGATCCATCAGTCCCCGTGTCTTCTTCACTCTGACCAGGCAAAGACTGAAAAAAGCAGGTATCCCTGGTATTCGGCTTCTAAGGAAAGTCAAAGCCAAGACCGGCACAATGCTCGAGGTGGAGGTTCTCGGCGTGAGATGCGATCTCCAGTATTGCCAGGCACCCAACATCGCGGACGAGTGGCCTGACGTTCTGAAGCGTCCCGCGTCAGATCCGGCCTTCAGCTTGTCTGCCCAGACACTGCTGAAGCTGAAGCCCGCGAGAGATCTATTCTATCTCCAGCGATCCGTTCCAGACTTGGCCCAGTTCCGGTTGAGCCACCAAGCTATCAAGACTTGGGCCAAGGCGCGCGGAATCTACGCTGCCAAGTTTGGGTATCTTGGGGGCATCCACTTGACCGTCATGTTGGTCAATGTCTGCAAGGTGCTTGTACACAATGGCGGCACCGTTTCTGCTGCTGATATCATTGCGACCTTCTTCGAGCATTATGCGCGGTTTGACTGGCTAAAGGACATGGTATTCGATCCATTCTTCCACAAGAACCTTAGATATCATCGAACAAGCAGAGAAGCCCTGGTCTTGCTCGGGTGGCACTCGCCAACGCTTAATACGGCACTCAACGCCTCCGTCCCGACCGTCAAGATTATCTCAACAGAACTCCGCCAAGCTAACACGTTGCTATCTGCTGACGGAGCAACCTGGGAATCGTTGCTACCGGTGCTAGAGCCCGGCCGAGATAACGTCATGACGCCTAGCGCCGCGAACTTTCTCACGTCGTTCCGGTCCTTTGTGGACTTGCGTGTACATTACTGGGGAGCATCTCTAGAGCGTGGAAGTAGGCTCATTGGCTGGCTGGAGTCTCGATGTGCCTCTCTCCTTGTCGGTAAGTAGCCTGCGAACCCTGTCCCCATTTCTACGTGCTGCTTGTTTGCTGACAACACCCATAGATATCAACAGAAGAGTCCCGCAGCTTTCGGCGAGAATTTGGCCCGCGAGATTTGTCGACGCATCTACGTGCGATCCCCAAAACACCCAAGGCGATTATCAAGGCTCTTACCTCGTCGGTCTGGATTGGATGGAACCGGACGAGAAGCCAGGACGGGGCGACCTGGAAGTTGCACAAAGCAATCTCAGGGCTGTTTTGCAGCAGTTCGAGAAGATGATTCTGAGTGACGAGAAGTACTTCGATTCCACTACATCATGGTTCTGCGCGAGCATTGTAAAGACGAATGAGCTAGGAAATTTGCGATTGGATGATCGCGAATGGGGTGTGTACATCGACGGCGATGACGATTCGGATACAGAAGACGAGGATGACACCGAGGACGAGAATGAGGAAGAATTGGCCGCGCAAGAGAGGCTCGCCGCCGGAAAGCTGAGCAAGAAGGCAAAAGCAGCGAAACAGCGCTCAGGAACAGCCAATCCGAAGCCCGAGGGGATAGGCAAGTTTCGCACGGCGCTTGATGTGCTGAACCGACTGCGATGGGATCCCGATATTGACAGCAATGACTACGTCATCGGGTACGAGGACAGATTCCTGGGACCACAGGAGAAGGCACTGTCGGCCTGGAAGAGCGAACAGACGCACGAGGAGTTCATCCCTCAGCATCGAATCTTGTGGTTCAAGCGCGGCAGCGACGGGGTGATTGTGTGGCACAGGTCAGAGCGCATCGATTTGCTCTTTAAAAAGGCTTGATTTTGGCGCCTGGGCTTGTGCTGAAGCCGGTAGCCAGATTCGGGGACATATGGATATGGTGCTTCCTACACAATGTAAACCCTTCGTGTGGATAGTTACATCGTTAGTCAAAGCTGCCTTCGGCAGAAAATAACCATACTTGTCAAGGCCTCTCGTGTTCCTCATAAAGCTCTGTGCCTTCTCATTGTACGCTGATATAGTTGAAAATGCTAACACCAAGGCCGCTCCGATTCATCTTCGGAACGAGAGGTGAGATGCAGTATAATGTTTTGAATGTACGAGAAGCATTGCCAATCCATGACTTGGTATCCGCCACCGAAACGCCCTGCCAAACTTCCAGAACAATGCTAAATAAATAAATGGCCGATAAACCAGCCAGAAACCGCAACCGTGAATAACTCAGCGGGTGACATGTAAGGATACACAAGGTCCTTTCAATAGAGCGTCATGAAGACAGCGGCAATAGCAGACTTGTCGTATTTGACATATTTGCCCTTGCCCTTGTCAACCTCGTGGTAACGGTCCCAGAACCGGTTGTAAAGGGGTTCGAGCATCTGCTGAATATCTCTTGCAAGCATCTGGCGCACCTCCCTTTCCATGTTGTACGTCTTGTGCCGGCTCACCATCTCATCAAAGGAGGCGTTGAATGCCTGGAACTTGCTCTTGATGTTATCCTTGTCCTTGCTGCTAAGGCCCTTGAGAATTGAGGCAGAATCAGCCTGTCCGGACTGAGGTCTTGCTTTGCTCGTGTGGATGACATCGAACAAGTGTGTTGAGACCTCTTTGCAATCCATCGTGTACATGCCTGTTGCTTTCTTGCGCCATTGGTCTAGCATGCTCATCCGACCCTCAAGGAGTGGCGCAAGGTCAGAATCGCGAATCATTCGTTCAATGATGACAACGCTGTTAGCCAGGAAGACGCCGATGACAGCTCGGCCACCCTTGAGGACCATCTTGGCCTTTGAGTCCAGTCCTGCCATGAGCATCTCGACTGTGTCTGAGCAGTAGTGTGAGAAGATTTCTTTTCCGTCTGCGCCAATATCAAAGGAAGCAAGACTGGGGATTGCGTCGGTCGATCGTCCATCGGCTGCAGCATTCGACCTCCATCCTCCGTCGCCTAGAGAGAACATGATACTGGAGACAGGCCGCAGGAATTCGACCATGGTCTGCAATCGCTGCATTGTGGCCGATACGACGGGTATCGGTGCACCGTCTTGTGGAAGTGTCTGCATGCCGGCAATCTTTCGTTTCGTGTCATCCAACAGCTCTCCCAATGAAAGCTTCGCAGTCTCTCGCACAGGCCTAAGGGCTGAGGCAAGTGAAGACTTTAGCTCGCCTGTACGCGTCTCCAGGTTGCTCGAGAGACCAGACATGATCTCGGTGATCTCGTAGGCGAGGTAGCAGTCTGTGTCCAAATGCCCCTTGATGTGGTTGTTCAGTTCGCGAAGAGTACGTGCAAGTTCGGCCATAGCGCTCTGGCACGTGGCTTGGAAAAGGGGGCCCCAATCTTCACGGGTGAAGATGCTGCAGATGTTGTCGTACTCGGCCAAAAACGCGCCTTCCATGGCCTGCGCGTATGTACCGATGCCATTGGTGCCTGCGCGGTAGATGGCGTCGGGGTTTTTCTTCTTCGTCGTGTTGACGCTGGCAGCAGCCAGGTTGGCCAAGGTAGAAGAAAGATAGGGCCCTCGTACTTCAGCATAAATCTTGGCAATGGCCGAATCTTGTGGGGCAGCAGCAGCACCAGCATTCTGGCGATGGGTGCTTGAGATGTACGAGTTGACTAGGCCGAGGCGTGTCACCTTGTCTTGTGACAGTACAGGGAATGGCATGTCTTTGGTGATGTAATGTAGCGGTTCAATCGATCGTGGGGTTTCTCCTCGCAACAGTCTGTCGAAATGGCCCTCGAGTTGAGAGTTGCCTGACTTGATTAAGCGGACAAGCTCAGCCATTGTCTGTTGGTTTGCCCGGAGGTTGGAGGCTTGCATGTTTTCAAGTGACTTGGAGAGGCGCTTGATTGAGGCGAGGTAGTTGGAAAGACCAGCCTTGTCCGGGCCGGCACGTATGATCTGTTCTTCGTCATTCTTACTATCGGCGGGCTGACGGAGGCGTTCGATGGCTGCGAGGACAGAATCGATGTCTGCGAGTGAGGGAGCTAATGTCAGCTGAAGCCCTGCTAGGCATGAGCGAGAATAGACTTACTGTTGCCCAAGACCTGGAGCTTCTTCGTTTCTCCACTGAGAGGACCTGCTACTTCTTTGACGCTCTTGCCGGTGGACTCCAACCTTCCCATGCATGCTTGGATCTTCTTGGTCAATTGAGCCGTCTTCTCGAGTCGCGAGTTGAGCACATCAACCTCTGCACGAGCTTCTTCGTCGGCATGGCGACTGGTCGCAGGCCCGACAGACATGGTGTGCGTCCTATCAGCTGATACTGCTATAACACTTGCAAGTTGCGGCCAAGCGTGGTGAAGCAAGGAGTGTCGGAATTGGAGACCGCAGGGAATTGAAGTGTAGGACCGGACCGTCGTCAAGCGCTGTGGGAGTCGTGGGAGGTCGAGATCTGGACGAAGTAACGACTGCCGGAATTGCAATATCGCGTCACCGGTGTTCAATTCCGCGTGCCTTGGGAAGGATTACCCACGAGATCGTGAGATGGCTGGCTCAAAGAAGGTCGAGTGGTCTTCGAGGATACATTGGCAGGCGGCTGGACGGGCGGGGCGAGAGCTTGGTGCGGGAGTGGGACGGTAAAGGGAAGGCGCGTTGTACTCTTGCGGGCACTGGCTGTGTCAGACGCACCCGAATGCGCGCAAGCTGATCAGATGAGGTACGTGTGGTTCTGATATGCTGTCGCCTGTGTGTTGAGAGCAAGTAAGTTCAGGAACCTGGGGGTTGGATGAACAGTTGGGATGGATTATGTCATCCCATGTTTGGAGTGCCGCCCTTCCATGCCTCCGAGGCCCCGATACCTTATCGAGTATCCGTACTTGACTTCACCTCTGCAACTCCAAAGAAGGTCCACGAGATCACCATGCATCGCGACTTATTTCACATCGACTTCTCTCATGACCGGCGTTGAATTTCAATAACTTCATCCAGTCCCTCTGTATTATCATCCAGTACCCATGTGGGGTATCGTACGTTGCCATAGAAGTCTTTCCTTTCTGCTCTCGCAGAGTGCACATGATTCGCAGAATCCGTAGCAGCAACAACGACCAAGTCAATCAGACAGCTGACTCAGACTGCTTCAGTCTTGCGAAGTATCCCTTGATCAGCTTCACCACCGTGTCGGCAATGAACTCAACGTCGCTCCGTGTCACAGTATACGGTGGCGCCACAATGATGTGATCGCCTAGAACGCCGTCCATAGTTCCCGCACCAGGGTAAACCACAATGCCGTATTCCTCGGTGCGCCCAAGATCGCTCATCTCCGTTGCCACCTGTGCTTCTCTGGGCCAAGGTTCCTTGCTCACCTTATCCCGCACAAACTCGATGCCCCAAAAGAGTCCCTTGCCGCGGACATCTCCCACACAAGGCTCGTCCTTGAGGCCCCCTCTCAAGAGTTCTGAAAGCAATTGGCCCATGGCTCGTACGTTGACTAGAAGACCATCCGACTCAATGATATGCTGTACTTCGAGTGCTGCTGCGCATGCAATAGGGTGACCTTGATATGTGTGTCCGTGAACGAAGCAACTGTACTGCGTCAGTGTGGCCACTTTCACCATCGGGACACTCCCAGACACCACCTCATGGACCTCACCTGGAACCCCTCTCCAACACATCAGCTACTCCCTTGTTGACTAGGACGCCGGCAATCGGCTGGTAACCCCCGGCTAGGCCCTTGCCAATAGTCTGGATATCGGGTACTACCCCTTCACCCTCCCAAGCATGAAGAGTCCCAGAGCGGCCCATGCCGCTCATGACCTCATCCATAATAAGTAGGGCACCATGTCGATCGCAAACTGCCTTAACAGCCTTAAAATATCCGCTCACTGATGGGACACAACCCAGAGCCTATGCAGAAATGTCAGTCGACCTCATCATGACTGACGCTACTTTGCGCTTCTTGGGCAGATCGTCTTACGGCCCCAACAACTGGTTCTGCTACAAAAGCGCACACGTTCCCGGGTCCTACCCGGGTAAACTCATCGTCAAGCTCCTGGGCAAGACGGGCCACATATGAGTCATCTGATTACCCAGGCGCTTTGCCTCTGTACTCGTAACATGGAGACACATGAGAAACGATATTGTCGAGGAGCATCGGCGTAAATTTGGCTCGACGAGAAACGTGACCACCCATAGAGAGTGCGCCGAGAGTTGTTCCATGGTAAGACCTTTCTCGAGCAATGAACAGATGCCTCTGCGGTTCTGGCGTATCCTTCTCTAGGAAGAATTGCCTTGCAAGCTTCATCGCTGCCTCCATAGCCTCGGACCCTGACATGGTTAGCAATCAATCGGTACTGACGGAGTTGATCCAACATACCACTGCTGACTAGATAGGCTCGTGACATCCGACCGCCGGTCGAATCGACGAGGAATTGGCAAAGTTTCTCGCAGGTGGGGGTTGTGAAGAATGTCGAAGGACTATATGCGATGCTATTGATCTGCCTCACCATAGCGTCTGCCACTCTCTTGTCACCATGACCGATACAAGCGACGGCAGCGCCTCCAGAAGCGTCAAAGAGTTTCCTGCCGCCTTCTACAACATAGTGGTGACCTTCACCGCCAACGATGCGTGCGAACTGACCCCGTAGATCTCGATGGAGCACTGGTGAGTGGCTCGCATCAATGAACTCTATGGTATCCAGGGGTTTGAGAACCATTGCGAGTGAGGCACGATATACGTTGAGGCACGGCGTATTGGTAGAGGTCCGTAAGCAAGATCTGGATGATAAAGGGATTAGAGCGGTGTAAGCAGAAGACAACACAGGCAGGCCAAGGTTCGCGTCGAGCCTTTAATACTGTTCACCTCCCATCTCACGAAGCTCCTCATCACAGTTGCTTCTGTATCTGCAATTAATAATGTGTAAGATATCGGCAAGCCGAACCTAGGATCGAGTCCGCCTTTCTGCACTAGGGTCCAAGGTAGCGTACCAAGACCCCGTCGTGGGAGGAGGGGGACGCATTGGCGCATCCACCATGGTGTGGAGAAGGGGCGTGGGCATGGAGAATAGAGTTCGGAGTAGGTAGGTGAGCGATACAACTTGGAGAACCATGACGGAAGCCTTCCACCGAGGCGAATACCCCCGACCAAGCGAGCCGTGATAGCTTGATCTGTCCCCGGTCGTGAGCACAGTGCTCCGCCCCCGTCGAGACGGAGGCACACCATCGGCTTACCCAACGGTGCTCTCTCTCGATGCGTCCTGCCGCTCCAGTACGAAAACGGATAGCCGCGGACCGACGTGCATCAGATGGCACTTCTGGTACCAACCTAGCACTTCATATAGAATAGAAGATGCAAGAAGATCTCCTTGTGAACCAGTCCAACGGCGTTCTGAAAAATTTCACCCATCGACAAGCCCCTGGGTTTCCCAGCGTCTTCGCAAGCTGCGAGTATCCGTTGAAAGAGACCGGACCCACGAAGGTGGAGCAGCTAACAGTAACAGTGTCGGATCATTCCGATGTCGTGTCACCCCTCATCGGGATGCCGACATACTTTCGGGCCGGTCGTTTCGGTGTCACTATCCCGTTCCCAAGACTAGTTAGTACGGGGCCATAGACGCTCTCGTCGCGAGAAGTTTCCTCCCGCCGTAAGTGTGTACAGGTAGCTGGCAACTATACAGGCGTCGTTGCATTGTGAACTTCACGTACGAGGTAAGCGCATCGGCGATATCTTTACACCCTCGTCTCACCCGACGATGCCCGGCCCCCTTGGATTTTCATTTTCGCACTCTACCCCTGTATGCATACAGAGCCGGCTGGGAGTGACAAGGGTTGGCGGATGTGACTCGTCACTAGTGAGATAAAGCCCGAACTTGAGCCCAGCAATGGAGGAAGAGATCCTTTACAGAGGCGACCGACTGGGCTTGCAAGATGCAATCCATGTTGGCAAAGCATCGCGCGCTATCCGCCTGGTGCCGTATTCGGCGATGAACAGCACTGCAAGGTACAAGACACCTCCCTTGGCCTACTGTTGCCGATCGGCTATAAATGGACACGTGCTTACCGGAGGTTAGAGAACCTTAGAGTCTCAAGGGATTCCATTATTCGTACACTCAGTCAATAGAGTGAAATCAGTTCACGAGCTTGACGACCACCAAGCGGATGGCCAACGTTTGACAGCAGACGTTGTATTAAACGATATTGACATAAGTGGGCACCAGAGATTCTGCTTCGTATCTGCACGAAGCCTCTGTGAGCCTGGCTTGCCAGGGTGGCCCAGACTGTCGGGTCCTGGGTACGTGGCTGAGATTATTTGGTGGCAAGTCTGCGATTATTCTACGATTCGGCGGGTGTCCCGTCAGCCGGCCGTCATTGAAAATGGCAAGTCCAATCCTGTAATAAGGACAGATACTTTTGCTCGGCGAAGGACATCGTCGAGGTAACGTGTCATGCGCAAGGAAGGCACAGCATTGATACGGGTGTTATCGGCCTCCCGTGGATAGGGTATGTGAGAAGCCGAGATGTTCTAGGCATCTGGAGTGGTCCGAAATGTGCAAGGCGTAAGATGCGAAGGGTGAGCTGGTATCGTCATGGTGGTAGCGGCAGCTCAGTTGCCAGGATGATTGCCCGCAATAGGTGCGAGTCGAGTAACCACGGGACGATGATGGCGTGCCGGAAACAGGGTAGTTTGGCCGTGGCTGGGAAACAACTCCTCATGCCGTGATGGTGCCGCAATAGAGAGCTGCATTTTGGGGCCAACCGTCGTGGGAAGAAGGCCAGACTCTCGAACTCTGGAGCAACGCGGGGTTAGGAAAAAGCTGTGATTACCTATCTCTGTCCAAATGCAAGCTGAGCGCGCGACGGATCATTCTCGGCTTATCTTCAACAATATGATTGATTCATCGGTCAATCCTTGGCCGGGGTTGGGGCTGATTTCAGGTGGTGACAGTCTGCGTTGAAGTGTGTGACGGTTCAAGGTTGATAATGAATTGGGGAACCTGGTACACCGTACGGTATCAGCCAATAATTGTTGGAGAATGGGCATCAGCCACATGCCTCCAGGGGCAAGCCACGGTTGCCTTGCCAAACCAAAACCACTTTACGCGTCCCACCTTGGGGCGCGTCGCCTCGCGTTTTTGGATGGCATTTGGTCCCCTCCTTTTTTTCCTTGTCACTCACACTCTCTGCGGCCGATTACATTTCCCCTCCCCCCCTCGACACTCCAGTATTGACGCTTCTGCACCCTCCCTTGTACCTCATGTTGTCAATTACTTTTGCAAACCTACGCCTTTGATACCCTGTTCTCCCAGTTCAACCAAGTCTCGACTCTGACGACAATTACCGCCATGGATTCCTTCATGCTGCAAGATGCAGCCGCCTTGGACCGCGTGCGCGCAGCCCAGGAGTTCCTCGATCCCCGTACGTCTGCTCTCGCATCACCGTAGGGGTCTTTGCGCCTCTGAATGTTGCACACTAACCTGGTGTAACCACAGAAAATGACTCTCAAGGACGCAGTTACAGATCAGCCATCATCTTGATGTTGCAAAAGCAGCAGAGAAGACTGGTCGTCAACCTCGACCAACTACGTGCCCATAATGCCGAGCTTGCCTCCGGAATTCTTCAAGACCCATTCGACTATAGTCTTGCCTTCAATCATGCCCTGAAACAAATCGTCAAAACACTGCCCCAGTCCGGCGATGCGGAAAAGTTGAACGAGATCTCCTACTACTGCGCATGGGCTGGTAGCTTTGGCATGAATGCCTGCAACCCTCGCACGCTATCCTCTCAGCACCTAAACAGCATGGTGTCCCTCGAAGGCATCGTGACGAGATGCTCGCTGATCCGACCCAAGGTTGTCAAGAGTGTGCATTACAATGAGAATAAGGATGTTTTTCACTTCAGGGAGTACCAAGACCAGACCATGACCAACGGAGTCACCACATCGAGCGCCTACCCGCAGGAGGACGACGAAGGCAACCCGCTTACTACCGAGTACGGCTTCAGCACGTATAGAGATCACCAGACCGTTTCTATTCAGGAGATGCCCGAGCGTGCCCCGGCCGGTCAGCTGCCCCGTGGCGTGGATGTGATTCTTGACGACGACCTCGTCGATAAGGTCAAGCCTGGCGACCGCGTGCAACTCGTCGGTATCTACAGAACTCTCGGAAACAGAAACACAAATCATAACAGCGCCTTGTTCAAGACTGTCATCATCGCCAACCACATTCTTCTCCTGTCATCGAAATCGGGCGGTGGTGTCGCCACTGCCACCATAACCGACACGGATATTCGAAACATCAACAAAGTAGCAAAGAAGAAGAATCTTCTCGACCTTCTTTCCCAGTCACTCGCGCCCAGTATTTATGGCCACGCATATATCAAGAAGGCAATTCTTCTGATGCTGCTCGGTGGCATGGAGAAGAACTTGGAGAATGGCACCCATTTGAGAGGTGACATCAATATCCTTATGGTGGGAGATCCCTCTACAGCCAAGTCCCAGCTCCTTCGATTCGTGCTCAACACGGCGCCACTAGCAATTGCTACCACCGGTCGAGGTTCATCGGGTGTCGGTCTGACAGCCGCAGTGACTTCGGACAAGGAGACGGGTGAACGGAGACTAGAAGCCGGAGCTATGGTCATGGCTGATCGTGGCGTGGTATGCATTGACGAGTTCGACAAAATGTCCGACATTGACCGTGTTGCAATTCACGAAGTCATGGAACAGCAAACCGTCACGATTGCCAAGGCTGGAATCCACACTTCGCTCAACGCCAGGTGCAGCGTTGTTGCAGCTGCTAACCCCATTTTTGGCCAATACGACACCCATAAGGACCCTCACAAGAACATCGCCCTACCAGACTCCCTCCTGTCTCGTTTCGATCTGTTATTCGTCGTTACCGATGATATCGAGGATACCCGGGACCGGCAGGTATCGGAGCACGTTCTGCGCATGCACCGTTACCGTCAACCCGGGACAGAAGAGGGTGCGCCGGTGCGTGAGAACGCCGGCCAAGCCCTCGGCGTTGCCATCAATAATCAAGCCGATACCCAACGCCCGACCGATGTGTACGAGAAGTTCGATGCGATGCTACACGCTGGTGTCACTCTTACCACTGGACGCGGCGCGAACAAAAAGCCTGAGGTGCTCAGCATTCCTTTCATGAAGAAATACATCCAATATGCCAAGACCAGAATTCGGCCTGTCTTGACTCAGGCCGCATCGGATCGCATTTCTGACATTTATGTTGGCCTCAGAAACGATGAAATGGAGGGTAACCAGCGCAGAACCAGTCCTCTGACCGTCCGTACTTTGGAAACTCTGATTCGTTTGGCAACCGCCCACGCCAAGTCCCGACTATCTAATCGAGTAGACGAGCGCGATGCCCTTGCGGCCGAAGCAATTCTCCGTTTTGCTCTGTTCAAGGAGGTGGTCGAGGACGAGTCGAGAAAGAAACGTAGGAAAACCCAGACTACCGAGTTTGCGTCATCAAGCGAGGAAAGCTCATCCGATGATGATGGCGATGATGGAAACTTCAAGAAGACGACAACACGGACACCCGTCCCGAGATCCTCGCGATCGACACGAGGCGTGGCCCGGCCTCGGCGAGCCGCTGCTGGTGCCAGCAGCGCCAACGAAGATGCCCCTGAAAGCGACGCGGATACCCCTGCTGAGCCTGATGTAGTGGAAGACGCAGGAGAGGATATCTACGAGGCGACGCCA